AAGTACGAAAGTGTTACCAAGAACAGCCATTCATTCTATTTATGAGAATTAAAAGTACTATCTCTTGAAAATGTTTCAAATTTGGGTTTCCTACAAATTGGAGTTTAAAAAAATTAATAATAATCTCAGTCCATTAAAAGCACATGGGATTTTGGTGCCTAGAAACTATAGTATAAGCCAGTAACATTGACTCAAGAAACATGAATTGTTTGTCATCTCTGTGTAACATTAACCATGCCCAGCATCATTTTCCTGAGTCTTGGAGGCATGGGAAAGATGATAAGAAGATAAATATGACAGTGATATGACACGTATTCAAATAGGATTAAACATAAAAAGTATCTAATACATGTAAAAAATATGAAAACAAAGTGCCAAAGTTCACAAAATGGGAAAATCGCTTTACAACAGCAAGTTTGCTCAGAAAAGTCTTTGTCATAGTTTAGACCTAAAATATCTTTAATTGAGATGTAAGATTTAGATTGGTAGGAAGAAAGATAGATCATCCCAAACTAGGGGATGGTATACCTGGTGGTTGGGGATCAGAGGACAGTAGACTTTGTGAGAAGAATCAGGCTCTTATACTGTAACTATAAAGTAATTATACTAAGTTGCTTGATTAGGACCCAAACCAGTGGAATAGAAAAAGAACTAGCATAACCATTATTTTAAAGTATATACTCTATAGACTTGATTTCCTTTCACATGAATATAACCTTCAATTCCCCAAAGGAAGAGAGAGGGGAAGGAAAAAAGGCAAAATAGTATCATTTTATTTCTACTGATTGCCAGATTTCAGCCTCCTCAGCATTAGCTTAGATAATTCTGATCTATTTTTGAAGTAACAAGAAACATGAACGGTGTACAATGCAGAAATATGAACGGTGGCTTAAAACATCAAACACTGATTATTGTGTAGTTTCTGTGGGTTGGGAATTTGGGAGCAACATGGCTTGGTGGTTCTGGTTCAGAGTCAGTCAGGAAGCTGCTGTCCAGATAGTGGCGGAGCTATAGTTATCTTGACTGGGGCTGGAGGATCAGCTTCCAAGAAGGCTCAATCTCATAGCTGTTGATAGGAGGTCCCTATTCCTTGTTGGCTGTTGGTTGAACCTCTCAGTTTTTCTCTACCGGGCCTCTCCATAGGGCTGTTGACTATCCTCATGCTATGGAAACTGGCTCCTTCCAGTGCACGTGATACAAGAGAGAAGGCAAAGAGAAAGTCCTCTTTATGTTCTGATCTTGAAAGTCACACTCCATCACTTCTGCCATGTTCTATTCATTAGAAGCTAGACACTAAGAAGAGCTCACATTTAAAAAAAATAGGCTCTAGGCTCTACCTTTTGAAAGGAAGAGTATCAAATAATTCGTAGATTTATTTTATTTTATTTTATTTTATTTTGAGACAGTGTCTCGCTCTTTTGCTTGGGCTAGAGTGCAATGGTATGATCATAGCTCATTGCAACCTCAAACTCCTGGACTCAAGCGATCCTTCCGCCTCAACCTTCCAGGTAGCTGGGACTATAGGAATGCACCACCATGCCCAGCTAATTTTTCTGTTTTTTGTAGAGATGGGGTCTTGCTCTTGTTCAGGCTGGTCTCGAACACCTGGCCTCAAGTGATCCTCCTGCCTTGGCCTCCCAAAGTGCTAGGATTACATGCATGAGCCCTGCAGATATATTTTAAAACTACCACAATCCCCAATACAACTTTAAAATGTTTGC